CCGGTGCTGGTTCCGATCCTGAACAGGTTGTTTCCTTTGAGTTCAGACAGGTGATAAGAGAGCAGCGCATTGTATCCAGAGTCTGCGTCTACAGCCCTGATCTTTGCCACAAAGTATCCTGCTTCAGCAGAATAGGGGATGCTCTCACTGTTAACAGAGCCATGCTCAGAATAGGGAGCGAGAATTGTTGGATTATTATCATTTTCATCTAGAATCAAAACGTTCACAGTGACGTTGCTGCTGAGTGGAGGAACACCAGAGTCTGTGGCCTGAACTTTGAACTGGAACGTTTTTAACTCCTCATAGTTAAACGACTGCAGGCTGATAATTTCTCCTGTGTCTGAGTTGATGTTTATCATTGTAGAGAGTGGCAATACGTGACTGTTACTCTCTGCAATTGAATAGCTCACTTGTGCATTTTCAGCAGTGTCTGCATCAAGTGCAGATACTCTTTTTATAACATGTCCAACTGGACTGTTCTCTTTAACATACACGTTTAACAAGGTTTCTGAAAAACTAGGAGAGTTGTCATTAACATCGGAAATATAAACGGTCAGATCCCTGGTGCTTGTTAGAGCTGGGATTCCGTCATCTTTAGCTGTAATAGTGACATTATAATATGAATCGCTCTCTCTGTCTAGCTCCCCGTTTACTACCAAAGAGTAATAGTTTTTATAATTTGTTTCCAATTTAAATGGGCTCCCATCTTTAATATCACAATGCACTATTCCATTCTTACCCCCATCTCTGTCCAGGACTGACACAAGTGCAATCGCAGTACCTATTTTTGCATCCTCTTTCACAGTGTTCGTCAGCGTTGTGACGGATATTTCAGGAGTATTGTCGTTTAAATCCACTACTTCTATTAGGACTTTGCACTGTGCAGTCATTGGGGGGAAGCCTTTGTCACCAGCTTGCACGCGGATTTCAAAAGCCGGGTGCTCCTCATAATCAATTTTTCCTTTAACTGTCAATAATCCAGTGTGCTCATCAATTTGAAATAAATTTAAAACATGATCTTGATCTTTGCTGCTCAGTGAATATGAAATCTCCCCGTTAGGCCCTTCATCATCGTCCGCTGCAGTCACTGTTATTACTGATGTACCGAGCGGTGCATTTTCAGCAACGCTTGTTTTATATAATGGTTTGGTAAATATTGGTACATTGTCATTAACATCTAAGACATTGATTATTAACTGTGATGTTCCAGATTTCGGAGGTGTTCCTCCATCTACAGCAGTCAACGTGAGTTTTATTACAGGCTGTTTTTCTCGGTCTAAAGGTTTCTGGAGGACTAGTTCAGCAGACACACTCTCTCCTTTGTGCACCGCTAAAGAAAAATATTCATTCTGATTTAATTTGTACGTGCTGATACCATTTTTTCCTACATCAGCATCGTACGCCGACAACACAAGAAACTTAGTACCAGGTAATGTGCTCTCGGCAATTTCAATATTCTGCGAATTACTACTGAAAGATGGATCATTATCGTTAACGTCTAAAATATTTATTTCTAAACGATAAAGCTTCAAGGGAGCATTTATCACAGCCTCTACGCTCACTGTGCATTTCGCTGCCTTTGCACAGAGCTCCTCTCTGTCTATTCTGTCACTGACAAAGAGAACTCCAGTCTTGAGATTTACCTCGAAATATTTCCTCTTTGATCCATTAACGAGCTGAAACATACGAGACTCCAGCTCATGGACACCGAGATTTAGATCCTTGGCTAAATTTCCAACAGAAGTCCCCGGATTCACCTCTTCAGATATGGAGTAGGAGAGCTGCCCGGACACCGCTTCCCAGTAACAATCCAACAGTACGAATAACACGTATACCACCACAGGACTTCGGTTAATTGTAGACATAATCCAGTCGGACATGAAACGAACATATAAACGGGTCCAGTGGATGTCGAGTATTGATAGAAGCTATGCTCGCCTTTCTTCGAATTTCTCCTCAATGTGGATCATGCCCCAGCCCTATCTGCGCTTTTGTGCGTCTCTTTGTCAAAGCCCAACAACACATCACTGCGTTTTTAATATGGGAGGGATCTCAGGAGTTAAGACTTTGTGTTATGGTCTACAACGCCCTCTTGTGGTTTCGTGGGCGATTTACATTACAAACGAAGGGAAAACATACACGACCTATGAGTAATCCACATAATGGTCAATTTAATAACAAATGGAAACAAACAGGCAATAACTGGTTGCTTCCTCGGGTAAATATAGCATCATCTGGTATTATCGATAAAGCATTGTGTGCATTGCACCCCCTCCCCACATTGAGTCTTTGCTATTTTCAAAAACGAAATTATCAACATGACACCAACTGCGCAAACACTGGATCAAAGCGAATCAACAAAATGCTCTTGTCAAATCAAGACGTTTACACTTTTGCTTCTATTCACAAAAGCAGTTCCACACAGCACAATCTGCAGCACCATGGACAGCGACCAGTACACGAGAATGGAAAAGTACCTCCCCAATAGTTACCAGCTTTAATAGATGTGAAACCTCAAGCTTTCCACAGTTACATCAGTCGGAAAAACTGATTCTTTTTTTTGTTCCCCACAACAACACATTTGATGTGTGTACACACACAATAGGGGACAAACCAACTAATATTTGGTAAAGCTCACTTATTTGGCCAACAGTTGGAGACAGTTA